ATTTCATTTTGTATAGAAAAATTATTATAAATCTAAGCGACATTAAAGTTATACATATTTCGAAAGAAAAAAGTGCATGCTTCCATGGCTGAAGTATACTTTCGCAATATACCATAAGTCAACAGCATAATAATAAAAGAATGGCCAAGACAAATGTGCAGATATTAGAGACTAAATACTTAAAAGAATATGGGAACAGCTAAATAGGAATTACAAGAGAGAACGCTACAGTCAAGCAAGCCCGACATTAAAATACCCTGTTCTCTCCACAAAATATGAAAATTAAATTAAAAAGTATTTAAACAAAATTAATTAATTAATTTAATAAAATAAAAAATATTCAATGAATACATACAAAAGTTAAGACATGTTTATATACTGTTTCAACAGCATAATTTTTATCATCGTGTCCATGCGTGTTTATATGCGTGTAGGTATGCAGTACAGGACTAAGTCAAAGCAGCAACAACAACAGCTGCTGGCAGAGCTTCGGCAGAGAGTATATTTATGGCTATAACTTTCTTCATAATTAACTTAACGTAATGAAACTTGGCATACGGTTTCATAATCACTAACTGGAGGTATTTGCCAAATCTGAGTACAAATTTCCAAAGACACGAATACACAAATGGGGGGGAGTTGGGGGGTGTATCAAAATAAATTAGCAAACTTTATCTGATTAGGGCCCCATAGAACCTGAATACCAAGTTTGGTTATTTTAGCTCTTGCACTTGCTTTACCCTGTACCCTTTTAACCTCTGGCTATAGGGTATAAAAATATAGGGGTACGAATCGAGCCTTACAGCGATCGAGTTACTCAGAATACCACTGAAAATTGAAAAGGCTGGCAGGACCTGTTACCTTACTTAAATATTAATTTCAAATGGAATGTATATAAGGGCTAATCGTGTATTTAAAAAAAAGAAAACATAATTTATTTCGGGTAAAAGCCAATTAGAAATGCTATGTTTTGAAACGAAAACCTAGCCATATATCGCTCATGTGGCTCAGTGCCACATACCATAACAATAAATAAAAGTGCGCACTTTATTTCTGTTCAGTGAAGCTCCTTTTTCGCATTTCAAATTATAAATATAAATAGCCTTTATTTATTTATCTTTCGAATTGAATTTGCCTTTGCAGGTTATCTTATTCAATATTTTCTGCACTTTGGGCCTTTGTGTGGTTAACTCAAGTACAGTATTAGTGTAACCCGAGACATTACATATTAAACATTTTACGCAAATATTGCGTAACCTTCTTAAGGCAGCACAAACACATTCTGTCCGGAAGTCTTGTTATCCAATAACATAATTAAGACGTTGCAAACATGAAAGTGATATACTTGTGTGGGAAATCCATTTACATAATGCTACAAATTAGTTTGTGTTTGCCATTTGATTAATTAATTATTATTTATATACAACTAAAAAAGGAAATATGAGTAGATGGTTGTTATGTATGCACATACAAGTTTAAAAAAATAAACCTTTGGTATACACTAATTATTCCCGTTGAAAAGTGATAATACTCTTGAAGCTTTAAACGCTCAAGGGATATTCTACGAAAGAGGTAAATGAAAGCCACAATACATTTTAAAACTAATCAACAGCGTAGCTTTGTGCTCAACCCACGAATACATACGTCCGACTGGTAAAAACTGCATTTGCTAGTTGGCAACTATAGTAGTCCATTTCAATTCATTTTTCCAGCTAATTCGTATTGCTACCTAACAATCACACACGCGTAAAAACATACATACATATATAAAGTGGGGAGCCATGTCATGCGCTCCAGCAGCCACTCTCAGCCACACGTGCCGGCGTTCATTTACCTAAGCATTATGGGAATTGCCGGTGTGATGGGCATGTGTGAGATGAGAAGCTTGTTCAAAATATTAGCTATGTTTTGGTTTCCAGTGCCAATATTTAATAGAAACAAATAGAGAAGCTAAAGTCGGGTGTAACGACTTTGAAATAGTCTGTTTAGAATAATTATAGAAATTAAGAATATTAAAAACAAGTAAAAAAGCTAAAGTCGGGTGTCCCGACTTCGAAATACTCTGTACATATGTTTACATTAATTAAAGAAATTAATATAAGTAGGAGAATTAAAAAAAAATTGTTTGTTCGATTTTACCTCTTTTGGTATTCGAACTCACGTAAAGGGTGTATAATTGCACATATACAAAGCAATTGCGTCTATGTGAGTGTATGTATGTATATGCTCGTATATTCGTGACTGTGTAAGCATGTTCGCAGTCAACCAAAGCACCAGCATCACCAACAGCCGCGGGCAGCGCTTGAGCAGCGCTGCAGCAGCAAATATAATTATGGCTATAACTTCTTGTTAAATGGGTATATCATAATGAAACTTGGCGTACGGACACATAATTACTAACTGTGGGTATCGATTCAACTATCGATAGTTTTGATGCTCTAGCACATAGAGCATCCGACACATGCCCATCTCTAGCATCTCAGCTGATCGCATATTTACAGCGACTTACCGTTTTAATGTTAGCTAACAACGCTACAGAAGTATGCTGAACAAATCTAAGAGTCATTTACCGTTAAGTCTATTTTATGAGTGTATTCATGCGATTTACAAAAGCAGAAACACGCCTTTTACATTCACAACAATCATATTTGGAATTGAAGACACAAATTAGTGTTGAATTAGAAAATTTAATACATACTTATATATGTATGTATGTATGTACAAGTATATAGGGGGATAACGCCTGCATGAAAAATTTAAATGTATGTACCTATCAGCGTTGCCGAACGCTCCAATTTTGGCGGGACGTCCCGATTTATAAATCAAAATTAAATGTCCCGCTTCGGACTTTTCGGTGCGTACAAAGCGTGCTGAGGAAGCACACAGTTAAGTCAGGACTGGCATTCGCCCGTATGTATGTACGTATAACCATACATAGTAATTATTGTACTATATTTGCTATTTGGAAAATGAACTCTTTAAAAAACTTTAGAGAGCGTCGAAAGAAGAAGAACGTAGGTTTGTTCATTTCTGGCCAATACTTGTAGTAATTCGAATACAGCTAAAGCAAATAATTTGAAACCGACAAGCGGAAATACAAGTACATATGTATGTATGTTGCTCTGCCGTACCTCATCCGAATGATATACACGTATTGCTGTCATGCATTTCAACAGCATATTTCCGAGAATTTGTAGCTTTGTGGCAGTTCACTACCTTATGTTTGTGTGATTGTACTATTGAGGTAGGCTCACTTGTGTAGAACATGGCAATAAAATGCGAAATATACGCAGCATTGCTGGCTTTGCTATTGCTTTGAAACGAAGTTGTGAGGGGACGGAATAAATATTTTGTCAACAAACATTTTGTCTGAATGTGTGGGTTAGGATGAATGTGTGTGAGGCAGGCTAGCAGCCAACTTTTAAATAAACTTGATGAAATATTTCTACGACTTTGAAAATGATAAGGCTTGATCATACAGTGGGTGGCAGACATGTATATTTTGATATGCAACAGTACGCCTCATTTAACTTCATTTCAAACTGACTGACTGACTAACAACACCATTCAAAAACTGATGGATCATTATGCTGCTGTCCTATTAAACAATGAAGGAAATCAGGAAGGAATCAGGAAAAATAGTCTTTAGATACTCATGCAAACAATGCACCTTTGTTGACGTCGTAAGCTTTGAAGTACTGTTTGTCAACATAGAAGTATATACGGCTTCAAATGTATGTTGGAGAATCGAGCCAGGCGTCCTGCAGCAACACGATAAGGTCAAATAACAATAGCAATGCAAATTCTAACACAAACAATGCGCCAGCTGTCAAAGTAATTGAATTAGTTTAAGGCTTTTACCCAAATTCGAAGCTGCACTCTGGAAAATGCGTTCAGTTGACAGATCTGATTAAAACGTGCAAGTCCAATAACAACAAGAGAGAACGCTACAGTCGAGCAAGCCCGACAGTGTAATACCCTGTACCCAGATAAACTTCCGTCACTGAGTTATATGCGCCCATAGCAGCAGCAAAAAGAGGAAGAAGAAGAGCGAACTTGTTGCTGCAGTTTGGGAGGGTTGCACTGGAGAGAATTTGTTTCGCTAATAACTTTTCTTAGAATTGACCGAATTGAATAAAATTTAAACAATAGTAGACAATTACATATATATTATGTGTGCAAAGTTTGGTTTAGGTAGCAATTGAAATGTGGACGCTATTGACGAAATTCTGTAGCAGGGGAAGGGGGGGAAAATTCCAAAAAATAAAATAAACTCGTCCTTTCTCGGACCTAGGAGAATCTGGATGCCAACTTTGGTTATTCTAGCTTTTATAGTTTCTGAGATCCTCGCGTTCATCCAGACGGCCAGACGGACGGACGGACGGACATGGCTAGATCGATTTCTCTCGTCATGCTGATTCATGCTGAAATTTCTGAAAAAAAAAAATATGGTGGGCGCCCTCCTCTGAGATTCCCATGCCAAGTACCTAAGCGCTGGCAAATTGAGAATTCAATTGTAAAATTTCAAAAATATGAACTAATAAATTTGTGTGTATGTATGTACATTATTATTATAATAATTTCTTCTACGCTTTAATGAACATTTTCTTCCTTAGAGTAAATAATCCAAGTGTAAGTTAAAGTCACCTACACTTTAACAGGAAACTTGTGTCCAAAATTTCAGCTTCTTAACGCTTACCATTTGGGCTTTGCTATTTCTCATTTCCAAAGAGTTCATTTCCCAAATAGCAAATTACCTTGGCACGATTCGAGAGCTAGGACATAAAGCTGCTCACCGACACCATAAAACACAACTTGTGACAAATTTCAGCTTCCTAGCTCTTACCGTTACGGCTGTGCGTTGATTGCCAATCAGTCAGTCAGTTAGGACGAACTGTTTTATATACAAGTATGTAGAGATAATAATTTCATTCGTTAGACATCACTTGAGAAATGACCCTAAAACAAAGATGATGCTTAAATATTTTCACAATTCAATGTTTTCATTTAAAAACTTTATTGGCATGTAAATAGGATGTTAGTAAAGCATTTACAAAATTAGAGTACTTTCTCAATAGTTGGATGACTTGAAACCATCTCGTTAAGCTGACAGATGTTTTAAACTTAATATTAAGAGAATGCATTTATTGAGTACAAACACTATATCGAAGGAACACTGTATTGAGATTCACAGCAGCCACTTATGCTATTCACACATCCACATTGCATATTTCACACCGGCCATTGATGACCGTGTTGCCACCACGGCTATATACGGTGCCACGTCCATTGTTGTAGCCAGGTCTGTTCAGTATAACACTACTACCCCCTGACTTGAAGCTTCGATATTCCTGACCGTCAATAATGACAGGCTCACCGTGTGGATTTGGACCTGCCGCGCCGAGTCATCAAGTAAATAGTTTTTCAATTCGATAATATTATGATCAAGCGTTACTTACAGGTCAGACAAACACCATTTATTACCACATTACTCGGAAACGCTGTAAATAAAAGGCGGGTAAACATTAACGACTGAGATGCAAAGATCGCTATCTTTCCAATTCACCTACCGCCTATTAAAGCTGGCAGCGCCAACAGCAGCAATAAACACTTTAAGTACATATTGTTAGGCGTTGAGCGATGCAAAGTAAATGGCAGGTCTAGAGGTCCATATACCTACTTTTTATATGAAACGTAGATCAAAACAATTTGCATTATGTGTGCTGTAATGTTATCGCTAACGGATCAATCTATTTGCATTTGGCCAGCGGCGATGACTGAATACTCTACCTTCCACCCAAGGCTACACATCGATAAAAAGGGGGGCGTGTGAACGTTTTCGATTTCATTAGAATGTGCGGTAACGAAAAGCTTCATTTCACTAACAAACAGCGCGCATAACTGAATACTTAATGCCCATAAGTATCGCTCAGAATGATTCAGTAGCCATTGTAACAACAATACTCGTACACAGTAGCTTCACAGCTTAAAACTTGCCGGTTGACTGGTCTGACGGAAATCGAAACACCGTACGACTTTCATATGCGCTACATAGCGCCCCGATATTGAATTGCATTTGTTCTGTAAAGTACAGGGCTTATCAATCAAAAACAGTTTCATTTAATTCGACATCAGTCACGTAATGGGAAAACCCCATTGATAAGGTAACTGATGCAAGTGCCCATTGAATGAATATATTAAAGCAAAATTTATGGGTCTTCTGTAATGCTACTTCCCACTCCAATGTCCATGCTATACTATGCTATGGAAATTACACATCAAATAAGTAATAATAATCATCACTTCGCAGCTTTGGCAAACAAAACAAAACCCACCATACACATTTGTTTATAAACATGTAAAGTAATAATTCTTGAGAAGTTGGCAGGGGAACGCCAGCAGCGTGAATGGAGGAAAAAATATTTAATGTCGTTATTGTGCCAAAATGTCGTGACTGAGCTGAGTGTTCTATGACAACCGCCCGCACCATACTACCTGGTTCTGTCGTTGCTTACCAACTTATCTCATGTCATCCCATCCCATTACATTCAATGAGAACGTAGTGTACATCAGTAACGAGCACTGCTGAGTCGTTTTGATGGTTTTCTGCTGTCGCATCGCATAAATGTGGGCATTTCCAGAATTTGATTAATATTTCATTGAATGTATACTGTATGTGAAACGACGATAACACGATCAGTTTATTGCAAATCTAAAAACAAATTGCAAAAAGTAATTCTATAATACTACGTCGCTGTATAAAAGTATCAGTCGAAGGCATAGCTCCAAACAGATCAGTTCAACAGCTCGCTCAGAAGAAACACAATATGAGGCACTTTGCGGTTGCGTTTGCGGTGCTCGTCATTGGCACCTTAGCCTCAACACAGGCAGCCGTCTATATAGGCGGCGGTTGTTATGATTGTAAGATAAACCGATCTTGTCCGATCTGTTGATTCCACTTAGTAATAGCACTTCGTGTATATTGCAGGTAATCCGCCAGGTGGACAAGCGCCTGGCGTTTACACAGCAAATGGTCGAGGTGGTGGCGGCTACTACAATGCCGGCGGCGGTGGTGGTGGTGGTGGTGGCGGAGCCACTTACTACAATCCCGGTGGCGCCGGTCGTCCAGTCTACTCAGGCAACTTTGGCCCGAATGGCTATAATGGCGGTGGTGCAGCGCGCTATGGAGGAGGCAGAGGCGGAGGCGGTGGTCAAGGCTACGATGATGGCTATGGTGGTGGCGTCACTCAATATATAGGCGCGTAATATGTGTAGATCGTATGTAGTTTTAGTCTTGTATTACTAACAAATCATTTCAAAAACAATTGGCTGTAATTACTTGTATAAATGTAAGTTAATGAGATATGAATATTTTCTATAAACACCCGAGACAAGCATTTTAAGAAAAGAATATGTTGAAAAAAATGTAAGAATCAGGTATAAGAACTGATTTACTTACTTTTCCCTGCTTTTCTATCTATACAAACAAAACGATAAGTCACCTCAGATTTCAATTACGGAAATAACGCACCAAATAAATAGTTACTACAAGTTCATTGCTAAATCTTTTTTAATAAATATTTATAAGCACAAACAAAAAAAGATGATTAAAAATGTGTAAATAAAATAGGCTTGTGAAATGAAAAGGTTAACAGTTATCAACGGTTTTTTGCATCGCTCGTTTCTATACTTATACTATATACATTTTAAATAATATTTATTACGTTTTAAAAATGTTCTAGTCAATGCTATTCTGACAGTTTTGAAAGATATTTGTTATTGTTTCTGTTCTCAGTTCAATCAAAATGCTGACATAAACAAGTATTTGCTCTACTTGTATAATGCTTTAGCTTATTCATATATTATATTTATTTGTAAAACGTAGATAGATTTCAAAATTAGCCGAAACGTATATTCTAAAATTATGGACGGTACCCTTCATAGTTTCTTTTCCGTTGTATTTTCACTAAAACATTCGGAAAGTTTTTTAATCCATATTGGAAGCACACTATATCAGTTTTAAATAAGATTTAAAATTTTCACAGAAATGAAGCGAATCCTCAATAAAAAATAGTCAATAAATAAAATATTTACCTAAATATTTGTACTTATTTGGCCTACAATCATAATTACATTAATTTCTTTCAGTGTAGACCGAAGAGTTCAGTGTAATACCCCAACCATGCACCCGGTAAGTATTATGTTTGAATATTTTGCATTGACAACATATTTATCATACTACTTATATAAGAATTTTGAGACAGACAGGCAACCACTCTCCCGAATGCAAAATATTTTAATTTCAACTTTTTCCTGCATGCCCACAATGTACGAGTACGTGTGTGTGTGTGTGTGTGTGTGTGCGTGTGTGTGCGTGTCAGTATCTATGATGCGGTTGGATATGCATTCTAGGTACTGAAACTTTTTTCATTGCTGTGCTTTGTTTGTGATTTAAGTCGACAAAAGCTTTAAACACGGAGCTAACAATTTATTTTGGTCATTTATGTGCGTGCTCAAAGCTTACCTGTTTTATGATGTTAGCCAAGGCCATAATTGTGGCAGAGGGCTTAAAACAGGCAATAAATTTATACATACATATATTTATGTATAAGTCTGTAAATACTCGAATGTCTGGGATGCTTGAATGCGGCAAATTATTTCACCCAGACGCGCTGGCGCCTCCTTATACGGTACTCAGAGGACCCACTTGGTTTTTTGATTTATAAGTCATGCTGGAGTAAGGTGCATTTAATATACCTGTTTGATAAAAAAGAGCATATACATTAAACGTTAAATTATTTCGTTTCCATTTGTAACCATTGCATTTTAATGATAAACAAAACATAGAGGAGTTGGCAATATGAAACATATTTTTTTTATTGGCTTCTGACCATAGCTGAGTGCAATCAATATTTTAATTATTATTGATACAATTCCATGAAACATTTGCATGCACATATACGTTTGTGCAAAGGCAAACATGATTATGAAGGAACTTAAAAAGAGAACGTAAAAAAGGACACCCTTTAGTTTATTTCCTCAATTATTGAGTTTCATAATAGACCTCAATTGTTGAGTTTCATGATAAGAGCTATTGTAGAACATAGTATTACTAATAGCCGATTTCGTGTTTTAAATATATCCAGTAAGCAATCTTTTATTTAAATAAATAAAAACGGATTTTATAAATTCAAAGCATGCATCCGTTGTAAAATAAACTAATTTCAAAGTCATTTGTTGTCAATATACTATAGTTTTATATTGCTTTCAAAATCCCTGCAATGTTCAATTAAATGTTATTCTCATTAAAAAGTTATTTATATCTGACTCTTACCGGCCTGTTATACATATTTATAATTAAACTTTAGTATATGTACCATTTATTTTATTACACTCTACTTACATCAATTGATCAATATTTGTATACATTGTAAAATTTGTAATAAACGATGGATACTCAGGCATAAACGTGAGAGCACAAATTTCGTACTACACGTCAATATTTAATGAAGGAACTGCAAATACCTTTTCATGTACCTACTGTGTTATTCATTCAGCATTCACGACAAGGTGGAAAGGCAAGTTCAATTCATCTTTGATATGAAAATTGAATGACGGCAACAACTTGGTAAGTCCAGTGAAAATATTAATATGCCAACCACAATAAAGTTTTTAAATATCTTGGCTGTTATGAGACGAACACTTTAACTTTAAGTCGCCTCCTTAAATGTAGTATGCAGGGCTCGCTTCTGTTTTGACCCCTTAGCGCAAATTGTGAAACTCTAGCAAATTAATTTAATTAAAATAATAATGGCGCATCGATTTCATAGTACAGCGAAGACTGCAAATTGAAGCCTCAAATTTCATAAAAATATGAATACTTCTGTACTTATACACATCCAGCGAAGCGTACTGTGCATTTTCGCTCTTGAGCTCTTTTGACTTGCTATCAATTTTAATTTCCCAGTCGCTCGGCAAAGTAAATAGACGTACATACCTACGACTACGGATTTCTAAAGATATATACATACTTACTTATGTACTCGTACATGTGCAAAGCAAATGTGTTCGAAGTAAACAGTTTCAGCTCTTCACGGGAAGTATGCAAGGCTTTTCGAGTGCCACTAGAGCTCTAGTGCTAGTGTCAATAAACTGCATACTTGTGTGGGTGAAAAGGATTTGTGTTTTCTCTTGTCTTTTCATTGTCAATATTACGCTATTGACAAGATATAATTACTTGCAAGTATGCAAGTCTGTATAGCAGGGTTACGCTTCATAGTTCACCCAATTATTGATTTGGATACAGCAAGGAATTCTCTCAAATTTAACATACACAATATAACAAATGCAATATACCACCACTTACTAATAATGCAACTATTTTTAGCTCTAATTATATTCGGTAGTTATTAATTTACTCATGTACAAATCTAGTTTAATTAATTTGGAAGCCACTAAGAAATTCAACTTTCTTCCTGCCTCACATAGGTTATTATACAAGTACGCTGAAGTGCATAATATTCACATTTGGCATTTATATTTATTAAAATAAGTACTTAGTGTTTAATTGAATAGCTAACATTTTATCTTCCAATGCCCTATACCCTATGATTGAAAGGGTATACTCACAAGACTTAAGGTGCGTTCCAAGCAGATTAGGCCATAACACGACAGATTGACATTTAATAAATATGAACATTTTAAAAATCATGGTTTACGTTTTAGCGCCGTGATTCGAACCGAGTTATTCTTAGGAAACGAACTCACATTATGGGATTCCTGTTAGCTCGTTGAGCTATGCCAGGCCCCTGAACTTTTATGAGAGCGCAGATTTGATATTTTGATAAAATGCTGCCGGCAGCGCTGCCCGCAGCTTTTGTTGTTGTTGCTGCTTTGGTTCAACTTTATGCTGCATACATACACACATATAAACACGCATAGGTACGTGATGTAAATGTATGCTGTTAAAACTGAACATAAACATGTATTCTAATTTAATTTAATTAATTAATTAATTAATTCATTTTTTTAATAATTTAATTTTTTTTTATTTTCCTTTTTTTGTGTAGAGTACAGGCTATTTGACTGTCGGGCTTGCCCGACTGTAGCGTTCTCTCTTGTTCGATATGGCTTGTTGAACTGTTTTCGGTTTGTTTTTTGTTTGTACTTTATTTTTTTGTGTTCCCTTCTTGCGTATTAATAAAGCAAAGTATCAACATCTTTAGAAAGTTTATTATCACAAACTTTGATACAAGACTAACTTATATGCAGCTCAAGTATATGTATAAAATTCATAACTAAAAGCAAAAGCCGCAGCCCGGCACCTTTACTTTTTTGCACCACAACAAAAAAAAAGCAAAAAAAATTAAATCTGTTTGGGGATAAAAACACAATATGGACACAATATTTTACGACTTAAAAAGTTTTCCGACAAGAATCATAATGGAGCGCCCCATTGCTGCTTGCTCGACACCAAGTTAAGCGGATTGGCACAGTGTTTTTATACCCTGTATAAAGTATGTAATATGCACAAGGAAGCATCTCCGACCCCATAAAGTATATATATTTTGAATCAGCATGGCGAGGGAAATCGTACAGTTTGTACAGTTTTCTACTTTAGTTTAAAATTGTATCCAATTCGGTCAATTCTAAGAAAAGTTATTAGCGAAACCAATGCTCTCCAGTACAACCCCCCAAACCAGTTCGCTCTTCTTCTTCCTCTTTTTGCTTCTGCTATGGGCGCATATACCTCAGTGTCGGAAGGACTTGCTCGCCTGGAGCGTTCTCTCTTGTTTTTTTTTTTTTTTTTTTTTTTTTTTTTTTTTTTTTTGGATTCAGTTTACATTATAAGCATTATAAGCATTCTTAAGTCATTTTTGCATTAAAAGTGGCTAAGCAAACACATTAAGTAACTTACATACACGTATGTATCTTGGCATGTTATTTACAAATGAACAGCTAAGTATTTGTTTATATTCTATTGTGTATATGTTATTAATAGAAAGTTGTATATGTATTTCTTATTAAAAGAAAACTATATTTAACCCATATTTGATCCTTTTATCCTGTGTATTTGCTAACGTCCAGAATTAAATGAAATAGGAATTGATATAATAATAATTAAAAGCTCATATTAGTAATTGGATCAAATATTTAAATTTAATTTATTTTTAAATCTTTTTGATCCTTTGTTTCTAACTATCTATCTATCTAAAAATAAATCATTTATTTCTTCAATTTTATATTTTATTGAAACTAGGTGCCTCATCAGAGTTATAAGTGAAGAGCTATCAGTTAAATCGAAGAAGGACTTTAAATATTGTAACTCAGTGTAATAATAAAAACTTATAGTTATAAACTATATGTATGTACATATGTTAATGCTTATGGCTTTTGCGGTTGACATGGGTTTTCATTTTAAGCTCCCACACAATTTTTCATGATACGCATACGTTTTCCAGAAATTTGTATTTTTTCGGCGCTTTGTTATTCGCACATTTTATCAGCGCCAGCTCGCTTTTATGTTAAATTTGCAATATTTTGATGAGATGCACTAAAAACATCTTTGTTGTTATTTGTGTAGCCTGCACACAATGGGTAAAAGGGTCCAACAGTTTAGTGAAAATGTATGTAACACACAGAACGAGGCCTGGCAGACTTCACAAAGTGCATATATTTTTGATCAGTATGAGAAGACCAGGCCATGTTAAACTTAGTAAACATATTCTCCTGAGCACTATGCATGTCATCTATTAATAATTTCCTATAACATTAATTATAATGGATTTTATCAAAGATGTTCACAAATAAATGTATGCTTTTGTAACTGTTAATTCATATAGAAAAGTCTCTACTTACGTGTTATATACTTTCTGTTTGTTATTTTCATTTAATTATAATTTTTTTTTTAATTTATCAAAATTTAAAAAATTAAATATTTAATATGAAACAAATTTCAAAATTAGTAGTAGGTAGTGCAGGAATTCGGCACGTAGAACTCTAGCACTACCAACTAAAATGCAAGGAACAAAATACTTTATTTATTTATGTTTTCGCTGAAAAGGCCAATGGATGGGCAGTATGAAAATTGACATTGTTTGTTTATTTATTACGTATAGTACACGCGCATTCTCCATTATTTATATAAATTGTTAAAATAAATAAAAGCACATTATAATTTTGAAATTAAATTTATTTTCAATTGCAACATTTCACACTTATATAACTAAAAAGTACCGCTCTTCATTGAATAGATGAGCATGAGAAGCAGTACTCTAAGAATCACACAAATACGACCACGTCCTCTATTACTTCACCAATGCTATGCATTCTTATTAGACTACAAGTATATCAACCGAGCGTGCCAATCTGCCGGCTTATGGCAGATGTGATTGCATCATGCGCCGACTCAACAGCAGTAAAAACAAAAAGAACAGGAGGCCCCTCGAATGTGAAGCTCTGAACCGTTGCGTTCCAGCGCAAATGGCGTCCTCGTAGTACCGACAATTGCTGAAATGCTTCTCATCCGACAGCATTTTGGCCGTTTCGCGAGCAAATTCAGCCGAGTGCTTGTAGCATTTGAACCGTGCACTATTGTATATGCAGTTCTCATAGGCATAACGTGCACTGAAAATACAAAGTCAAACAAATCAGATCATGTACAATGGATGACTGGCGCCAACATAACGGGGAAAACAAATGCAAATGGCTTTCGTTCCTGGTATATACACAATTCCAAATGAGCCGCAGCTTAAAATACTATAATGCAGACAATCTCCATTAAAGTCAACTAAAAACCAATTCCAGCGAATTCCAATTATTTCATGAAAAAAAAAAACACAATGTTGCTGTGCAAAATACATTTACATAATATAATATAATTTCTTGAATATTTTTGCAATTGAATATTTTTAATTTTCATTTCATCGACATTCCGTTTTTAGTGAAAATTGCGTTTCCTTTTTAATTAAATCTGTCGGATAGTCGATAATGTAAAAGGAGAATTTTCACGCTTTTCAAGTTCACGACCAAAGCTGTCGCTCCCTTGTAAAAAAGTTGTCCGAAGACTTTGCTTTAGTATAGAAGTTTACAGCTTAGTGCAATGTTGTACAGAAGAAAAAAACAAAAGAAAGACTTTTTCACAAATGAAAAATTGCAAAAAATCGTTACATTTAAACTATTTCCTATATTCTTCTCTAATTGCTAATTTATTCATAGCTTTCCGATAAATTTCACTGTAACTTTTCTCTTTGAATTCTATACATTAAACAGTAAAAGGGTCGATTCACATTATTGGGTCGTAAAGACCAGGGTTTATTTAAAACTTTAAAGGTTTTATATTGAAAACAAGATAGAACGCTACAGTCGAGCAAGCCCGACAGTAAAATAGCCTGTACTCTCCACAAAAAAGTAAAATTAAAAAAAAAAATTTTAAAGAAAAATAAATTAGTTTTAAAAAAATTTAATTAAATTATTAAAATAATTAAGAACATTTATTTAATACAAACATAGAAGACATCTTTATGTACAGATTTACATTTACATTACTTGTCTATGCTTGTTTATGTACGTGTATATACATAAGCAACAACAACAATAGATGCGGGCAGCGCTGCAAGCAGAGGATGAGTAGCGATTTTATTTATGGCTATAACTTTGTTCAGAATTGACCTATCATGATGAAACTTGGCATACGGACACATAAGCACTAACTGGACGTAACAAGAATTACGGAAGTTATAAAATAAAACACACGAATTGCGGGGGAGTGGGGGGGGGGGGGGGTGTATCAGAATAAAAAAATAAACTTTACCTGCCTAGGGCTTAGGGGCACCTGGTTACCAAGTTTGGTCATTCTAGCTCTTGTACCTTCTGATCCTTGCGTTCATACAGGCGGACGGACGGACGGACATGGCTAAATCGACTCGCCTTGTCACCCTGATCAAGAATATATATACTTTGTGTTGTCTCCCACGCCTCCTTCTGCGTGTTACATACATTCGCACAAAACTAGTATAGCCTTTCACCCTTTGGGTACAGGCTATAATTATCAAGGCTTTGAGAGGAATTCATCTGCACCCCACCTTATTTCACCAGTGTACTCACCAACAGAATTCCATGAATTTGTCAGTCACATTACGCGTGGTATCGTGCAGCTCTTCAGTAAGTATATTCTGAAACTCTTTTGTGCAGCGCACCCAATCCAGTTGTATGTAAGCGAAGCAGTCCTTGTGCCGCAGGTAATCTGCAAAAGATACGACGAGCTAGTGTCAATCCATCTGTCATGCAAGTGGATGCAAGTGTTCTTGCCCAGTTTGTGAATGTTGTAGTGTGGGGGATTGCCTTGTCACATTCGCTAAGCCAATGTATAAATAATGAGTTGTGTAAAGTATATAATATAGTACATATATATTTGTGTTTCTGTGTCAAAATCTTTAGAGCACACATTTGAAAGGCCCACAAAGTGAAAGCTGTGAGTAACAAGCTGTTGCCTCGACAGATTCAAGTGGAAGCAACTTTGTGGGTTTTGCGCTCGAGAGCCTTTCCAGCCAAAGTATATGTGAGTGTACTATATACTTGTATATATATATGCAAATGACTACGTACGATAGTACATGTGTAAGTGCATGCACGAGTAAACATTTCATTTCTGATTTTTGACAGAATATTTTTGCTGCAGGCTATGTTTACAGACAAAACAGACATACAACCACAGAAACACCAACACTTACCTCGCTGAAAATCGACGTCACTACAAAATTTGATGAAAAATTTGCGTGCGCCCTCGACGTTATTTTTAAACATGCTCAGCTTGCGGTTTTGCAGACAACGTGCCGAGTAAGCATCGAAACATTTCATGCCGCGATTGAAAACACTGTAACAAATCAATTTAATTAGAGATTGGGTGAAATGGTGAATAAAATAATAACTCGTGTCTGATTACTTTAATTTGTGAACCATATTACGTCACAACTCATTCATACACACATAGATAATCGTTCTTAGAGCTACAAGCATCTAAAAATACTACGCATACAAAAAAACTCAAGTTTATTCAACTTTTAATTAAAAATAAAGTAAGTGAACAGATTTGTTTAAATAAATGCAAACATCAACTGTTACGAGACGTTCTTAACGTCTGAAAGCTAGTTTTTCTAAAGTTATATAAACGGGCAGTAAAATAACAGGCCCAATGGAGAATAATAACTATTAATGTCTTGAATAATATACCGAATAGAGACAAAAAATCTGAGAGCGACATGCATTTTCTAATGATTTTATTTATTCGCTGCCCCCGAAAGGTCTTTAGAAATCGGTTAGTTGAGGCAAACTAAAGTACACGTATCAGTACAGTATTCAATTCCATTTATTCTTGATAAGCATGACAAAGATGAGTCGTTCTACTCACGTTCCTCTGTCTCGGAAATTTAGAGAAACCCGAGAAACCAACCCCCCCTGTTACCCGAAATGTTATCTCCTCCAGTGCTCTGCCAGCTGAACCAGCACACACATTCAAATACATAAGCATATCTTAGAAGGTAAATATTATTGTAAGAACACAGGCTTCATAGGTTTAATTTTGTTGTCTTAATACCTGTACAAGCATTAAAAAACATGTAGTAGGGGCGATTTCTTAACTTTTATACATACTAAATATGTGTATGTAAAATCCTTAAGCTTTGTTAAAATACAGCAGCTATAGCATATTCTCACACTTTTAATCTGATTTACAGTACCAACAGCCATCCAGCTATTACTTGGCTTCAAAAAGTTTCGTTTTCTAATATTATTTATTATATAGGATATATGCAATGGACTTTACCACATCACCACGCTTGGCTTTAATTTTGTAACAACTCTTGCACTGACTCTAAATTAAATTGAGTTAATTAAAATTATTGCCCTTTTCCTTCCATCACAACCGTCAAGATGGTTGTGAGGTTTCGCCCGCTTTTACTTCGGGCGAGATTTCCCATGACACACTTCCTTAAAGCCCATTGAATTCATTTTTAATTAAATTTTGCCACAATAAATATTGGATGGGACGATGAGGTGGAGGGCGTGCTTAATGTACAAAAGATGTTGCCTACTTTTAGGATGGCAAACAAAATAAATTTCTTACAGTGTCTGCTGTAATTTTTCGCTTAGACTAGATGAGGTGCTGAACTTTCCTACGTTATTATTATTAATTCGCTTATTCGGACAAGAGAAAATGGGAATCAATTTCCTCATGGATGCAGCTTTTGCAAAAACCGTGATGTGGAACTATTTGCCATTCGATTTGATTAATACCTATTGGCACAGCACTGCTATCCAAATCTAGACAGAACTATGTTTGAGCATAAGCAGTTCACTTGTCAACACCTTACTTCATGTTCATTACTTTACTAATTTGGTTGCCCTGCAATTTTATGTTTAGAAGTTATAATAGAACGTTTTGCAATTAGCGCGCGGGTATTCTACCCAAGTCTTTCGTTAGGCACGCACTCAATAAAAACACAGATGAATTGGAAATATTTGTAGCAGGCTATTTCGACACGCCATCAATAAAGTCACGCAGTTTTCTGGACTTAATGACACCTGAAGTGACCCCTAAGACATAACCTTAACCCTTTTGAAGAGGCAATCAAGTGTGCCTATAATTGAAATTCTGTGCAAACATAGATGTTAATTAATTTTGCCACATTTAGATTTTCTACAGACTTCTTCACTCGAAATGTGCGCTTGGGCTTTTGTATACCTTTTTTTTTTTAGAATCGTTAATGAGTTTTCGTTTATGTTTAAGGCTTCGTGTTGCACACTTTCTATTTTTAAAACGACCTCTCACTCACACAAGGCACACATCTTAAGGCAACACTCAAGTGTTTAAGCAAATTTGATCTCACGTACTTGCATTTGGCAATAATTTCTTTCTTGCTGATGACGACTTTTGTATTTTGCAGGAATTCCATTAGATGCGGCGGTAAGTCCTTGAAGCACTCGTCTACCATATCTTGGGTGCTACCGCACCTTTCTTCTTCTTCACTTGACAAAGAACTATTGTTGTTACTTATTTTGTCGTTGGTTACGTTTTGGCCTGCCACTGTCAAAGCAAATAGCGCATAAAGCCCACAAATAGTCAACAAAATACTTCGCACACACATATTGCCGATTAAAATAACAGACACTTGTTGCGAGGATACTTAATATAATTCGATGCTTAAATTGTTCGTACGTTCGCTCGGAAGGTGCGAGCAACGAGCCTGCCACAGACAAACTGTTCTGTGGGACAGGCTTCTATCCAGTTTTAAGATGATTTTACAGAGAACGCTGTTAACGCTCTGTTAGATAAATGTTAAGTGATGCCTGTTGGACATGCGCTTTGCAAACCGGTGCACGTGTTTTGTGGTTTGTTTACAAAACAGTTCCAAGTACGTGTGTGTGTAGATTACTTAGTACGTATATTACGAGTGTATAGTATATTTTCGAGTTGAACCATCTATGTTTGAAAACTTTAGAGTGTTGTTACTGCTGCTCTTCGCAAACTGTTTATTAGCAGTCATTAGCCGGATATTAAAGTAAATTATGTAGAATGCCCTTAAACGTATGCTACGGTCTTAGCAAAACGAAACAATTCAACTTTGTTGACATTTTACTTGAAATTTAAGCATGCAATTAAGCTTTAAAGGTTGCCTTTCTGGCTACAGTGTCAATTAAGAGCTAAATAAATTATGAAACCTGTGTGTAGGCGCCACACGGTGCTTGCAAAGTGGACTTAATTAACTTACTCTTGTTTCCGTCGCACATAGTCCCTACTAATAGCAACGAGGAGAGTATTTAATAAAACAGCGGTTGTGAGTTGCATTTTTTACATTCATGGTATGCGTTACTACCTACTTTGCTATGGAAAATTATTAGCAAACGTAGGAGCTTCCTTGTATTGTATTTTCTACTATAAAATGCTCGGTACACGGTGACCTATTTTAATATGAACTCGGTCTAACACGATTAAAAATTTGCTACCTTTTCTACCTACCTTTAACACGCTTGAAACGCAGAAAACACGATATAAATTGAACAAGTAAAAAAGCTAAAGTCCGGTGTCCCGACTTTTAAATACTCTGTACATATATTTAGAATAATTATAGAAATAACAAAAATTAAGAGTATTCAAAGAAAAACATTTTTATCGATTTTAGTGAAACTTGACACACGGACACATAATAACTAACTGGGGGTATTTCCCAAATTTGAGTTCGAAATTCCAAGAATTACGGGAGTTACGATTTGCTGGGGAGAGGGGAAAGGGAGGGAAATTCCAAAATACACATTTTCTGCGTATTCCCATAAAGCACCTGGGACTAAGATTTGGTGAACCTAGGTCTTATAGTCTCCGAGATATAGGCGATTATACGAATAGAAAATCGGGAAAATCACCATAGGGGGGAAGTGGGGGGAGGGGGGGAATCAAAAAAATAAAACAAACTTGCACATCGTACACACATAACGCATCTTTGTGCAAAGTTTGATGTCTACCTCTTATAGTCTCTGAGATCCAGGTGTTCATACGGACAGACGGGCGGACAGACAGGGCTAGATCGACTTGTCTCGTCATGCTGAATATATATACTTTGTGGGGTCTGCCACGTCTACTTCTGCCTGTTACATTTTCAGCTCCCGCAAAACCTAATATACTCTTGTACATTTTATGTACAGAGTATAAAAATAACCGTATTACTTACTTTTGTCTCGCTTAACACGATTTCCCCTAACACGAGGCTTTCCAGAAACGCAACCCCCCTAGGTGTATTGCTATTTCTAATGTAATTTATTAATTTCCAGCCTGTTTACTTACAAAGGCTGCACAGATTTATACAACAATTTGTGCGTAACAGTAAGAAATGACATGCTAGAAACAAAACAACAAACTAAACAAAGGCCAACAAAGACTACAATAAATTTATTTTATTTTACATCTAGTATTCGGCTCCCATTGTTATTTGGTTCGTCTTGCTGAGAAACCAAATAGCTAAGACAAAGGTGTCGAAAGACGTCCAAATCGTCCTTTTCGTTGTGGGAACATATCATTAAGAAAATTGTTGAAATAAAAGCAAAGAAATTGGTTGGAGTTTTTATAAACATTTATTTATGCAAAAATTATACATAATTTGATTTGTTTGTTACATTCGCGGGTTATTATATATTATGTTTTATATTTGAACATGATAATTTCTCGATAGCTTGTATATGCGATGATTTCACAATTACATATAAAATAATAAATCTTATGAATTCAATGAATGGATGAATTAGATATGGGTTGGTTTTTGAATTGAAACACAATACAAGTACATACAACATATCAACTGTTGAATGAGAATGAACTTAAAACTACAAAATATTTAATATATATATAAAAGTTAAATTACTCATAATCGTTTTTAATTGAGTTTCGGCCACGAAATCAATTTTGTTCAAGAACAAACTACAGAACTATAGAAAAGAAACAGCACACCAAAAGATTTTCAATTCTGGCGATGCTGCAAATGACGATTGCACGATTGCCGTAATATTTTTTATGTTTATAATTATTGTTATAATTATATTATTATAAGTTTATGCACATTGCATAATTCTCTTGATGTTTTTGTTTGTTGACACTAATGAGTATGTAGTTCGATATTCTTTTAATTCAATTTATTTACTTAATTATGTGGTTATTATGCAGCAAATGTCGTGTGCTCAAGTTTTTGCCTTTGCATTTTGATTTGATTGTCATATTATATTTAAACATACTATAGTTGCAATGTTTTTAAAAAGGCACACCAGTTACATTTCGTTTATTTTTATCATAACAAGCCGTTAAAAATTCTTTAATATAAAAATTAAACTATAATTTCTATTAGTTATGTGAGCTCAGCTTCGGCTGGCTTGATTCTTATTTGTACCATGTTTTAAATGCAATTCAATTGATGTTTTAATTTGTTTTTATAAAACACTTTTTATTTATAGATACTCACTCGTAGGATTGTTATCTTAAAAATTTTCGACTGACTGGCTTAAAAGTTATTATTTGCAGCTTTTATAAAAATAAGTATAAAATCTTGTTTAAACTCTTTTTCACTACAATCGCTAGTATTTATTTTATATTAAAGAATATTTAACAGCCATTTAATTTTGTTGTTTGATTTTTTTGTTTGTTTTCTTCTTTTTTTTGCATAAAATACATTTCTCCCATTTCATCAATATATTTATATATATATTATATATTTGTTTAAAACTAATTTAATGTATTATTAATGCATGATTTTCATATTGTTCCTCTTTTCTTCTGTATTAACTAAATATGGCGCTGTTATTTTATAAGTGTTAATGTTTTATTTGATAGCGCGTGCGTTCGCGCTGCATTTCGTTATTATATGTATATATATGTATATATAAAGGTATAAGTAATATTATTACATAACATAATCATAATCCAAATACTCATAATGATTGATTAACAAAACTGTGCGTCAGAATTAACAGAAATATTACTTTTAGTTTTTTCTTTTCCCTTCATTTCATTTAAGTTAATTTAATTAATATACAACAAATAATTTTGCTGCTTCATAATGAGTTTGCAGTGGGGGTGGGGGCTATATTATGATATTACACAAAGCAAACAAACATATGTTTCCTTCAACTTAACAACTATAAAAGATTCTTCTTCTTCTACGCTTTTTAACATGATTTGCGTTTTGCCGACAGTGAGATTTTTAAAAAATTGAAAAGAGATAAAATAATGTTTTGGGGCTTCCTTTTATGAGATTCCATATTAAATAGAAAACAAATTTAAATTATTTAAAAAATTTCATGGCGCATTTTATACTTAAATATTTATGTATATGGGCGCCCCAATCTATGTGTTTAAGTCATTTTTTGTTCGTTGAACTTTCAATTTTTAAATGTGTGTGTGGGTGTGTGTGTGTGTGGGTGTGTGTGTGTATCTGTGAGTTTTATTAAACTAGGCGCTGTTTGATTTGTTGTTGGCTTGTATATTAACTGACAACAAACCGTAACAGAAATGGCCACAAAATTGTATCGACGACACGTTGTTGCTGTATTTGTTGTTGCTTCTGTTGCTAATGTTGCTGCAGCTGTTCTCCTCCGGCTTCTGCTTATCCTGCTGCTGCTGCTGCTGCCGATGATGATTCTTGTTGCACTTGTCTCTCAGATAATGTTGGGTCTACTGTTGAATGGGCAGGCAGGTCGGCAGGCAGGCAGGCAGGCATTTACGAGAATATGTGCGTGCTGGTTTGTATGTATTAGTGTTTGTCAGTGACATTTACATGTTGTTGCTGTTGGTATTGCTGTGGATGATGTTGTCGGTGCTGTCAATGCTGTTGTTAGGCTTTTCACATTCCATTTAACATGGCACATACAGACACAATGCTGATGCGGTTGCGGCTTCGCCTGCCAATGTTGCATGCTCCCTGCACCGATTCTGATACTTGCGACCCCAATCGAGCTCATCTACCAAACGCATCAGGCAGGCAGCAGGCGATGGATGATGTTGTAGTTGTTGTTGTTGTTGGTGGTTTTGTTATGCGTTTTCGTGTGTGTGTTTATTAAATGTATGTGGGTTGTTTTAAAATTTTATTTTTTTGATTGATTTTATTTTTGTTAGCATGTAAATAAAAAGAGTCATAGAAGTGGAAATTTGGTTTATTAAATGGTTAGCAGTTAGTTTTTTTTTGCTTATTCTTCTTCTTTTCTTCTTAATGCTAAACATGTAAGATTAATATGCGAGTTCTTGTCGAAAAAGTTACTAAATGGCATGGTCATGGCTTAGGTATTATAAACATGCAATTCAAATCAGCGTAGCATCTTTAGTAACTTTTTTTTTTTTTGCTAAACACACAGCACATGGTGGCACAAAAACTATTTTAAAATGGAATATTAAAATATACAAAATATTCTAAGTTTTCATTTAAGTCGTTGTCTCTCTTGGCCAATCTTCTAGATTGTAGTAGTAGTTTTTCATTTTCGTTTGTCTTTACTTTTCATTGTTAACTTTATTTGTCTGTACTTTTCTTTGTTATTTTTTGTCTTTGTTTGTCTTTACATTTTCGTTGTCGTTATTTGTCTTTAGCTTCATTTTTACGCCCTTGCTTTCCCTATATTGTTTTTTTTTTCCATTATCTGTTCTTGCTTTGCTTATTTTTGTGCAATGTTTTATTATTATTGTATGTCCTTTTCTGGTTTCTTCGATCTATAAACGCTATTAACATTGTCTGACTTCTGTATATCTTTGTCTTTCTCAAATAATCCTTGTTTTCTTTAGACGTCTTTTCATTTGCCTGATTTTATGCGTGTTTGTCTTCCTTTCTCCACCGACTTTGTATGTCTTTTGAAGATTTGCCTCCAGTTGTCCGTGCATTCTTGGTCTGTTATTTATTGCCTAGTCTGTCAATATCAGCCTTACTTTGTGTTTTTCTGTCATCACCCGTCCTTGTCTTTTGTGTCTGATTTTGTCGTCTTGATCTCCGTCTCTTGTAAATTAAAATTATATTCTAAAATGTTAACTAAATAGTTTTATTTTGCCACAATGTACATGTGTGTATGTAGGCTGAAAATGTTGTTGTATTGCAACGTTTTGAAGAGTAGAAGAAACAACACATACGAGTACACATTTTTGCATTTACGAGTAGCATTGAAAATGAACTAAGAGAAAGAGTATAGAAGTTGTAAAGAAGTGCAACAAATAATAAGAGTTTATGATTTGCTGTATATAACAAATATCTTGTTACATACTATACGTTATTAATTCAAAATAAGAAGTTTCGGTTATCGAATTTATCAATTAATCGAGTATAATTTACAAGAACATAAAAATGTTGTTTTTTGTTTTCTTTGTTTGGTTAACTTGGCCTTTGGTTAGTTAAAATTAGCAATAATATTACATCACATATTTGGTATATATTTATATTTTTTAAGAATTATCCTTTATGTAAATGCTATAGAGAATGTATTTTTTATAAATAAAATGTAAGTTTTTAATAATCATTAAAGAATTTTGTGTAGTGTGTAAAAAATCAAAAGTAAAATTGCAAGTGCATTGGCTGTCAATCATTGTCAATCAATACAAATTCATCTCGAATATGCCAAAAATAAAAGCGTTATTTACATCGACTTTCGGTAAAAGAATGTATCATAGATTTATTTTATTTATATTGATTTGTTGTCTTAAGCATGTGACAAGGGGAAATTTTTTGTGCATATCAACAAGCACGAGGTTACTTTTCATCAAACATTTGGCATGACATTAAAATGGATTTAGTAAGTAGTTCGTGTGGGGTATGTTTGTGTGTCTATGTGGGTGTATTGTGAGTTGATTGTTGCTTATAAAAGCAAATGCGAATGCAATTTTTTAATTTTGTTTTTCAACATCATACAAAATATGTAAACTTAATAAGCTAGATATTAAACATTTGATTGATACGAATACCAGAACCATTAAGCTTAGATAGTAGTAAGAACCAATATCTCAATGTTCAGTTAAAAACTGTTTTCAAACTCTGTGTAAAATACGAGTAAAGCCTAATATTTACATGCGATAGGCATAAGGTGCCAATAAATATTGATTGTTACAATAAGTTTAAATTAACATTGAGCAATTGGTTCTAAATCTGTTAAATACACATAGTGAGCTGTTGCTAGTGGTGGGTATTGGTTGATGTTGTTGGCACATTTTTGCGCGACATACATAAATGTTTTAATGATTTAAGTATTTATATAGTGGGAGAGTAGTGCGTAAAACAGACTTGAAGCATATATTATAGTATTATACAATTACTTGGCGTGATAGGCCCATATACGACAGTATGGAGTTGCTAGTAGTAGTTATGGTAGTACATCAGGACCCAAGTTTTAAATTCCGCAACTTGCGTTGGCTAAGAACGTGTACGTATTAGGATAGTTCAAATATTAGTGGAGTAAAGCGATATACTATCATACTGGAGGAATGCCGTTCATTTTGTCTAATCGATTGGGATTTCATTAGTTTGTGGATGTGGCTGTTGCCGATTTGAACTATCCTAGTGAGCATACAACTTAAGGCTAAAGTTAAGACTTAGATTCTACAGTTGCAAACAGTAGTTAAGTGTTTTTCTTTAGTGATCAATGAGTTATGTGTGACATTACGATTTGGTACGATTGATTTGGTTAAAGTCGAAAGCGTTAGGTTTAAAGACTGGAAAAAAAGTTTTCAGTTCCGATGTGGTTCTTGTTGTCATCTCTCTAGGGAAGTACGTTGTACTATACGTACAACAAATATAGTAAAATCATAACACTTGGTATGCATTTGTTGTGGTTTTGTTTTCGTTTTCACTTCAACAAAAGTCATTGATCTTTATTCTGGTACACTTTAAATTCAATTGCAACATACATTCAAATGATATACATAATAAAAAACATTACATCTAACAATGGCTTATATTTCTAAATACACATGTAAAATTATCTTCACGTCTCAACGTTATCATTAATCTTTCATCATATGTATGTATATATGGCTTACAGAAAGTAATACAAAGAAACATATCGTACAATATACAGAGTGCACTAATAAATGTATTTATATATTTCTGGAGTATGCAGTATTGGGAAATCCTCTATTAAATAATATTCTTTCTTCTTTTTTTGTTCAATACCAAAGGCACAAGTCAACGTGTACAAAGTGGGGAAAAAACAATAATTTGTTCTTTTCTTTTCTTTTGTTTTTCTAAAGAAACTACTTTTCAATTAGCAGCAATTTTGCGGGCGTGTGTCTGTATGTGTGTATATGGATTCAACAGTCATGTAATTGAAAAGAAATGCTGCAAAAACTCGCAAAATTCACAAGTGGAAGTATTTGAAATAAAATGCAACTAGCAAATTGTTTGCCTACAGAGTTGCATTTTACTTTTTTTTTAAGAATATAGTAAAAATATATATGTAGGGGTATAAAAATATATATGAGTAGAGAAACACAACTAACCTGTTAGGCGCTGAAAAATGTTCTTGATTTTTTCTGAGTTTTGTTTGGGTTTTCTGACTGAGTTTTATTCAACCTCGCACAGAGAGCAGAGAACAGCGCCAGGTGCCAGCGATTTACAGAGTTGGGCGCAAGCTCAGCCGGCGTTTTTGAAGGACAACTGAGTCCCATCGAAGAGTTACAGTAAATAAAATAAATTAAAACAACATGTTCACATAATTTGTTGTTTATATCGCTTTAAAAATTATTATTATCAGCTATAACAAATATATAAAAAGAATTTAACTAAACTGTGTTGCCTTTTCATATCTTTGAACATAATGGCGGCAGGCTGAGAGAATTATTAAAAAAAAAAACAAAATTTAATTTATTTAAGTTAAGAAAAATTTAAAAACGAGAAAAAGTGCAGCAAGGACTGCAACTATAATGTTCTTTACAAGTATATTAATTTTTTTTGGGTTTCCCCATCGCAAAAAGAAAGCAAAAACAAAAATTTTTAGGCGTGTTTGTGTGTGTGATTTGTGGTGTAATAGTCGCGTGTTTGTATGAGTGGGTGCGGATTTGTATTTCATTTAATTTACTGTATTTCAATAAAACCCGCCGGCTTAGCTGGCACTCCAACTGTAGCACGCTGATAGGGATGTTCTCTGTTGGCCGCCAAACGACGCTGCTGCTTAATGGCGCCTACTAAAATATACGATACGATACATGTAGTTTTAAATATATATATATAGGTTGTTATTGTATATAGAAATATATTTTTATAGGCAATAAATATATATGTTTGTTGTCTACTTTATGTGGTATGGGTATAAATATAGATATGCAAAGCCTACTTAATTGCTACGAAAATGTTGTTGCTTGCTTTTCTTTTTATTCTTTTGCTGTTTCCTACAATGAAGGGGAGTATTATACTTTAAAGAAATGATTGGGAAGTGAAAACAGTAGGTAAGGTACTTCAAATGTTTCCATTACTAGGCAAAACTTTGTTCAAATTTCGCTAAACTGTGATGTACTATTTAGTCAGGAATTATAGCAATACCATACATACAACCAACAACAACAAAATTGGAGTGAAGCCCCTAAATAGTGTTTACCATTTCCTTTCGAACAGATACTCCCCTTATAAAAATAAATGTTCCTTTTCCAGTACTATATTACTGTTGCTGCCAATTGTAAAATAATGTGTAATTTTTTTCTATAAGTTCTTTCATTTGCATGCTACTTCACTTTAAATTCTCTGTTTCTTTGGAATGAGTCGTATATATATGCCATTTCACTGACGAAATGTGTAAACTTTTACAAATCTTGCATTGTATATATGATATATAGTATGTTAACCTGATTTTGTGTGCATGGCGCATGCGACAAAATAAGTGATTTTTAAGCAGCTTAATTAGGCCTAGCCTTTCATTGTGTTTAACATCTAGCTTAGAGTTCTTTAGCATTTTTTCCGGCTATCTTCTGCATAGAAAATCCCTAAGACTAAGCTGCCTGTGCTTAAGTATTCATATTGTTTTAAATATATTTTTTGCTGACTAGTGTTGTGCAAATGTTGTCGTTAGATATTGCTTGGACGGCTGTCGCAAGATGAAGCCACTACGAACCCTATTTTGTAATATAATTATTAAGTGTAAGCACCAACGTGATTCAAGGCTCCATTTATACTATATAAATAGTATGTGTGTATATAGAATCGAATAGAATTAAAACAATAAGTAAAAATGCTAGAAATTAAAAGCAGCTCAAATAAAATGGCACTAGCTGGAAAAAATCGAACGGTTTGTGCCTACAAAAACCTAACCGATATAGATACTTTTCATAAGGTACATTTGTGCATAAATACTTGCATTTTGTAACTTCTAAAAAACACACACACATACACACTGAACTTAAGCTATAAATTGCACTTACATCAACAGCATATGTAAACCCCACACCCTTAAAACAACGAAACTGTATACATATGTATGTGTATATGCAAAGATGCAAAGTTTATAAGAAACAGTTGTAAAACAAGAGAGAAACAAAAACCCTATGTTAAATAACCCAGAAACTTATGTGAAAGTTCTGAATAGAATACTCATGGTTCCTAACAACAACCGAGTGCAGCAGAGTATAGCAAACAAGTAGATGTTGTTGCTGCTGCTGTTGCTGTTCATACAGTTGTTGTTGTTAACTAGAATATACTCATTTTTCATCAATTTTTTTTCTTTTTTTTTTAATTTGCACGTACTTTGAAAGTAGAAAATTGAAAAAATTGCACTCGCTTAATGACTACGTTCATAGATACCTAAATATATATGTATGCATATATAAATTGTGCGCTTAAGCGCCTAAAAATCACTTATTTGCCAGTTAAATAATATATGCAGAAATGTTTCGGGCCTTAAACTAACTATAAAAACTTTGACGAGCAATAATATTTGTTTTTGTATTGTTTTATAAATAGACAGGCCTGTCATTTGCCTTTGAGTATTTCTTTTTGATTTTTGTAAATGTTTCTTATATTGTGTTGAATGGCTTCGCCATTATTATAACTATTAAAAATTGTTGATTGCTGGTGTGATGTTGCAGATGTTCTTCTCTTTCTGTTGTAAACTTTGCTTGGCTCTAAATAAATAGGCTTGTATATAAATATGCTATACAGCTATAGTACTACATATACTATGTGTTTATGTTTATGTTGTGTGTTTTTGTGGGCGTGTAATAATTGATAACTAAATACTAACACTTCTTAAGACGTTTTATTTTACTGGTATATTGTATATTGGATATATCTATTGTACGAGTATATTTGAAAATTCTTTCTGTACTCAAACAAAAAAAGTTCAAAAGACGGAGCCGGCATGCATAAATCGACCAACTGTAAAAATTTATTTATAACAAATAAATATAAGAAAAAATTGATGAAAACAATAATTAGAAGAAATCTGGTTAGCATTTGTTGGTTATTATTGTTGTTGTTGCCGATGTTTTTGTTGTTCTTTTTAAGTTTCGGTTTTGTTGGTGATTTATCAAGCGTTAATTGAAAGCACTAAACACAATTTGTCATGCAAAGCAAACATGTTAAGTGTTAAAGTGTGCGTGAAAAAAATATTCTGCTGCATACTTTATGGCACTGTGTAAAAAGTTATTCAACACTAGAGTCGCTGTTTTGTTTTTAAAATGTTAAAACAAAGTTGACATAAATAAATGCTTTTAATAATAAATGTATACAAAATGTTCAACTTTTTCAAGATTTCATGTAAACAAATAAATAATATAAAAAACAAATAACAAAATATGAAATCAAGCTAAACACCGATAACATTCGCTCTTTGAATTTTTTCAAAGTAAATTCTTTTGATAACTTCACTAAAGCTAAATTCTGAGTTAAAACATAGTACTGTTTGAATAGTTTTATTTTTCTATTTTCTTTCGTATTTTTTGCGAAGTGTTATTTCATTTGTTGTATACTAGAATGCCGTATGAGATATTTTGAGTTGAAACTAAATTGAATTTAAATTTGCTGATCTCCATTAGAAAATCTGGGATCAACTTTAAATAGAATAAGAGATTTGTTTGCATCTGGTGGATTCAAATTTTGATTATAAGAAAATAATGATTTAAAACACAGCTATGTAGTATTCATTTTGCAAACCGTTGTTTCTTTCAGTGTAGAGTGTAGAGCTAAAGCATTGCAAATATTAAAATATTAGGCGTGTATTTGTTGAGTACTTTTGCTCGCTGCTTGGGAAGTATTTAAACAATGGAAAAAAATATATACAGTAGCTTACAATAACTCAAAGATGCAGTTGGGGCTACTGTCCACCCCTTTGCTCTTTTGCCTAGATGACTAACTCGAATTTGGGATATAAAAGTGTGCATGTTTGTGTGCTGATTGAGTGCTGGTAATCAGTTATGGCGCATATATATGTATATATAGATATAGATATAAATTTACTGCAGTTAAAGTCGATATGTGAAATAAAATCATTTTCGATTGTTTTAAAAATGTGTGTGGTAAAACGGTTATAAGAATATGCAGATATATATGCATGTATGTATAGAGAGTTTAAGTAAGATAGGGTATGTAGGTATGTATGTAGGTATAGTATAGTAAGTATAGTATAGAGTTTATCTAGCAAACAACCCACCGCTATGATCTGCATATTCCGTCAGCAAAGGATTGCCAGCCAGTGCTGCATAGTTCGCGTAATCGCCGTAGGGTGCGAATATCATGCCATGGGCGGTTTGATCGAAGGCAGCAGTCGGCGCTGCCTGGGCGGACAGTATGCTCGCGGCCGTGGTGGGCACGGTCATGCGTGGATTAAGTATCAATGGGGCGCCAAGGGGTGCATTGGCGGGTGTGCGTATCTGTGTGGCTAGTCCCGGCAGCGCGGGCGTCAACAGACGATTATCTGATGCAGCAACCAAACGACGCCAGTCCTCATCGCACACTGCGGGATACAGAAGAGAAGAAGAACCAACGCATGAGAAAGCTGGCCGTTAAAGAAAAGTGGATGTAAATTGAATATTGTGGTGGCAAAATAGTATTATAAAAATATTTATTTATAGATATCGTTGTGTTATGTTAAACTTGTAGTAGTTATTAGAGCTTTTATTTTTTTCTTTTGTTTTTATAGACGCCGTTAGTCAGTAGGGCCGGTGGTTACGTTTCAATTAAGCACAATATTATTGATTACGATCATAAAAAAGCATTATCCTTTTTTCATATATAGTAGAGTATGTAGTAAGTAGAAGTATGTAGTAGAGCATTATAGACATACCTGCGACTGATTTCGCTGTTGTGTCCCTATAAGTGCCGTTAATAATGGCTAATTCCATAAGTTGACGTTTCTTTAGTTCATCTTCGCCTTCGGCTTGCTGTTAGTACGAGTACATGTGTGTGTGTGATTTTTTTTAATGTATTGTATTAAACAAAATACATTAAAGCATATTAATTTTGGTAAGAAAAATGAAAATAATATAAAAAATTCATTATTAATATCTTGTTAACATTTTAGCTATGAGAAATAGTTTATTATTTATTTTATACAGATAAAAAAGAGAGACAGCGCAAATAAACACACAATTTAATTCTTTTTAATTATTCATTTTAAATGAAAAACATATTATTTTATTATTTAAAAACAACTGGCATATCGGTTTTGGCTTTGCTTCCAAAATAATTTCATTTTAATGCACATATAGACAAGACAGAAAGACGGCCCAATTCTTTTCATTGAGCTTTCTTCTTTCTTTAAGTTTAATTGTAAGCTTTAAGTGTTTCTTCTTGTACTTGGATCAAGCATGGGGACAAAAAAAAAGCACTCTAACATATTCACGCTAATTAAAGCACTTCAGACTTACCGGCACAAGAAGCTTCTGGACTTCGGCAACAGCCTGAGCTAATTTAACTTTGGCTCGATTCTCAGTATCCTCGACAGTTATCAAGACATGCAAATCGTCTGACAAGTGCTCCCAGTTGGGCTTTCCGCGATTTGCGTCCTCCTGTAAATGAAGATACAAGATCAAATGTTTGAGAGTGAACATAACTAGAGTTTACATCTATGTGTCGCTAAATTACATAAAACTATTGAAAATGCCTTTAAAAAAGCATACATTAACATTTCATTAACAAATATTTTTTACAACATTTTTTTTTTTTTTATAGATAATATGAAGGAATAGGAGTATGCATTTCCTGAAAGCAGTAGTTCACTACATAGGTTTTGGTTATCTTTTATAGAAAATTATCTGATCTATCTGAAACTATCTGATCAGAAGAACTATCTGAAGGAACTAAAGGCCATTGGATTTGGTTGGTTTTCTGATCTTATATTTTTAAATACCATAACAAATAATGAAGAAACTAACACAATGCGCTGCTTTAGGCGACCCATGCCCACAAAAAAACAACGACTGATAGAGATGAAAACCAATGAACAAGGGTTTTATATATAAGTACAAACATTCCTAACAATCTAGTACACCCTTTTACTTTCTCGCTACTGTTTGGCTGTAAACAAAAATTGTTTTTTTTTTCAGCATAATAAAAGTCATTGCCTTGATTTAGTTGCTATTTTTACAGACCGCAACCACAAAGTGCAACATTTTATTAGTGATGCGCATAATGGCAGGCACCGACCGTCGCAAACTGAAGCCGTCGGTGCAAATGCAAATGCCAACACTTTAGCCAAACAATTAAAAGCAACAAATTTGCTGAGCATTTTTGCGGCTTTTCTTTTAATTTCTTTGCCCAATGGGCAATAATAAAAATGTGGGCGTTTCGCTGCAATGCAATTAAAAACATTTTCTCAGTCATTACTTTATGCCAACGACCAACAACAATGATGAGCACTTGATAATGACGACCAATGCTCAAAAATATTATTTTGTACAGAATAACAAGGAGCAACACAAAATATATTCATAATATATTTCATATTTCCACCCATGCGTAAAAACAGACACATCTGCACTGCACTTATGACCCATAAAAATGCTTTGGCATCTAACCTAATCAATTAGGCTCAAAATTGCAAAAGAGCTGTCACATGTCTTTTGGTTTTTGAAGTTTCTACTGTTGACTCGTCATACATAAGTGTCCAGGCATTCCGGCTAATTCCGTCGCAGTTGCTTTCATGTGTCAAATTAAGAAGAGCTGTCAGATGGCAATGAGCCACACAACAAATCTTTTATAACATTTGCATAGAAGAACACCTCATCCTACCTAGTCCCAAACTGTCTCTTTCGGGTGGGTGCTTGCTACAACAATAACAGCATCATCCATACATATACATATGTATACTATACACTTCAACACGTAAGTATTTTGACATAATGTTTTGCTTAAATTTATTAATATTCTAAAATTAGTCTAAAAAAATGGCCGTAAATAAAAACAAAGATAGGCAGTTCTTCTAAATTTAAATTTTTTTGCCAGAGGCCATATATTCATTAATTCCAGGTTAACAGTCAGAACAGATGGGCCTAGGCCTCAGATCGGCAAATATAATCCTAAGATCTCTCCATTACTGTTGGGTCATTATTCTAAAAGCAGATGTTGATTTTTAGAATTCACCCATTTAGTTTAGTTTAGTTTTTAGTAATAATAAATTATAATAAAAAGGAAATGAATGTGAAATTATGACCAATTTCTTACCCTACAAAGATTGAGCTCAATTGAGTGAATATACTTTTATAATTTAGTATTAAGACATGTATTTTTCACCTAGAAAGTGCAAATACTGTGCTCGGTATTTGCCGCTAAGTTAGCGAACATTTCGCACAATGAGTAATTGACCGTGCACCAGCACTTTTTTAAAACATGTTGGTAAACATTTCGACTGTTTTTTATTTTTTTGCAATTCCCATGCTTAAAATGAAAAACCCTACTACAAATTTTCACAAAGTGTATCAAAATGTTTGCATACACGAATGTATATGTGTGTTTGGTTTTGTGAGTCAACCGAAGTTGACAGACGTTGCCCGATGCGTGGGTGCCTGTCGTTTCTATAGCTGTTGCTGTTACTGAAACTTTTGTCACCAAATTATCAAAATAAAAACAAATGCAACGCTATAAACGAAATTTTAATTCGCTTCTCTTGTTGATGCAAAATGCGTGCTACATTTAAGAAATACAAAAATACATTTAATCGGCGCTACTTTTTTGGGCAGCAGACACGTTAAAAGGAAATTAAGTCATCATCTGAGTGACAGCTACATGCATGTGTATGAGTATGTGAATATGTGTATGTGGCTATGTGTGGCTGTGCACAAACTTATTGTATACCCTCTTTAATACACTGCAATTTTGATTTGGCACGGAAACCGACTGTCAACAGACATTTTATACCCATGAGTGTGTGAGCGGTCTATGTGTTTAGGAATTTCATTCTAATTAAAATGGAAGTGCTCTACGAATACATATATCTATACACATGTACGGACAGATGTGTGTTTGCCTCTGTATTGGTTTTCGGTTTTAGTTTGGTATTTGAACTATAAATCTCTTGCCATAGTGACTGACGTCAGAAAATTGGCCTCTTATTTCTGTTCATGTTAATGAAATGTGTAAGCGGCTGCGGAGGTGGATTGAATTTCCGATCAAATGGTTGTGTGAAACACTTACATTTAAATGTGATTTTTAATGAAAGAAGATTGCTTTTAACAAATCAACAAATGGCTCATTTCCAGCAGTGAAATATTCGGACAGCTTTCAAATGACTTTTAAAACGATTCCCCATCTCATAACAAGAAATCTTGCAAAATAGTTCAGGTGCCATAGGCCACGATGTTCGAGGGCCGTCTTCTTTGGCACCATTCCAAAAAAAACTTTAATCTATGAGTTGTTGAGTTTTGTTTCAACATTATTGATTTTTCGTTTCTATGCTCATTTACCGGAGATTTTAATGATAAATAGAAGCTCTCATGCTGAATATAGGGCAAGATTCTTTCTTCATTATTTGTGTACATTATAATGCATGCATGTTTCCATTTGTTCGCTACTTTCAACTTAAATAAGAAGCAATTTAATAGAACATTTTTATTGTTGAATAAATAAACTTAACATTTACGCTTACCTTCTTTTTATCTCGCATGGAACCTTTGCCTCGTACCATTATCTTACAACCAGTCTCTTGTTCTAGCTGTTTGGCGGTCATGCCGCGTGGCCCCAAAATGCGACCAACAAAGTTGAACTGCAAAAGAAAAATATAGAGAAACAAATGAATAGAGAGGAAACAATTAAACATCACTTTAATTTGAATTAGCTATAACTATGTGCTTTTAGCTTCCAGTCTGGAAATGTTAAAGTTCATATAATAAATTTAATAGCCATTATAAATGCAAGGCTAATAAAACCATGAAAGAAATACGAGTGAGCACAACTGTCGCAAATACGCGAACTTTCAGCCCCAAATGCCAAACAATGTTTCAAAGTCAAAATTATTAAGCGCATTCTTAGTCACAAGCCGTCTACGCCTTTGACTGACTGCCTGCACAGATACTGTCAGCGTGGAAAATCACATAAATGTAATATGACCTAAGGCGACACGCCTGAATTTAGCACGATAAACCAATCAGCGGCTGCTGCAGCAGCATCAGCAACGCGCACAGTGGTGCTCAAAAATGTTTTTGGGTGAAACTTAACAAGCCTTCATATCTTGTTACATTACTACTTATTTCCCACTGATTGTGGCATCAAATGTTTGTTATACCTGTATTATGATCAAATAAAAACTGATTTCCCACTCCAACACCACTGGCTCAGTGACAAAAGTCACTTTTGAATCTAATGCTCAGATGCAGTCTACCTATCGAATCTCATTAAACTGCAGCCCACCTATTCTTCATACAAGTATATACACTAATAATATAAATTTACTTGACGGCCTAAATAATAGTCGAAGCATCTGTAGATTGTTCTGCTCTCGGCAAACAATTTGCAACATCATTTTGGTAAAAATCTTTATCGATATAGCTTTAGCAACTAGAATCAATTCCAAACCACTACTCAAAGCGGCGGGACTCAAAGCATTTGAAAAACAATCAACTTGGCGTGCAAAGTTTGACGCAAACGTCGAACAGCAATGTTGCTTTGTGATTTTGTTGTTGTTGTTGTTATTATTGTTGCTGCTGCTTATGGACGCTGTCATCGTCTGCTCCATCGCTCACAATGCATGGAAAATCTTACTACTTGTGGCATGACAAACCAAGCGCAAACAAATGCAGCATAAACGTCTTCGTAGCTTGTTTTAAGTTGACTGTCTGTCTAAGCGGCTAACTGGCTGGATAATTGATGAGGAAAACAAAAAATTGTTCAAAAATTGTTTCGGCTTAAGTGCGGCTCTTAATCATAAACTGTGGCGCCAATTATCGACCAAATGGTTGGCATGCAAAATAGTTGACCAACTTTACACTCAAATGCAAAAGGTTAAAACTGTTTAAGCCAAGGCGATAACCACGCCTGCAGTGGCGTCATTTGATTGCTCCATAAATTAGATGATAAATTAGATTTATTGGTGGTACGATATCAACAATTTTCTATGAATTATATAAATTACATTGGATAGGTGGAACTGGAAATGGAAATTAAAAACTAGTTCTCGAACGGCCCAGAGGCAACAAAAGCAACAACCACTACAGCAGTAGCACGCGTTGATTGGCCGAACACAGTCTGCCGCTGGCCACCCACAATATAGCGCAATTGCCTTTTGTTTCACTATCTATTTGACTAAGAACGAAATCTATTCTGAAGCTATGATGTGATGTGTGAAGTGTATGGGTATGTGAGTATGCGAGTATGTGTGTGAATGCCTTGGTAATTTCAGTAACGCTGACGCATTACAGCTGCTGGCTGGCTGGGTGGCTGACTGGCCGACTGCCTGCTCATCAACAGGCAATTGCGCTGTATCTGTATCTGCAGCCGTTGTATCTGTAACCGAAAGATTGCCGTTCGAGTTGATTTGAGTTGAGCGAATAGCCGAGAGCGCGTTAGAGATCAAATCAATTGAAAATTGCTGCAAACGCACGTTAACGCTAAATTGTACAAATGGCTGACGGCCTTTAATAGCGCAACTCAAAATAAACCATTTAAAAAAAATGCAGTTAATGCCTAATGGCTTTAGGCTTAATTAAATTTTAAAATAATTTAAAGTGCAGCCACATGCATTTATACCAATGAACGCGATTTCTCAAAGCGCATTGCAATGCCACCTCTCCAAATTTGATGGGAAAGTTGCAAGGCCCGAAAGTTAAGCTGCCGCATCATGTTATGTCTTGTTACATGCAATTAGCATAGTTTCAACATATAGCTTTAGTTACAGTCGGGCCGTGCATATGCAAAAGTTGTTTAAAATAAAATTGTTGGTTGCATAAAAATGCACTGAAAATAGGTCTAGTGGCAACAAAAGTTTTGAAGACGAAGTATCTAGTTATGGCAAAAACGAACTAAAGATGAGGGGATGGTTATTTGCGCCGAAACTCTGTGGCTTACAACGACATGTAATTAGGGGCCGAGAATACTATTGCTTTTTACAAACTTGCTTTTGTAACGTTTCTCTATTAATGTCTCTATTACTGTCTGTATGTATGTTTTGTTTCCTCATTGTTTTTCAATGATCAGGATCACGATCACAAAAAGTCACCCAAAAGCAATTATTTTTTGAGCCTTACGGGGATTAAAATCCAATCTGCGTTTGCCATCCAGCAGGCTTTTGCTATAAATGTTCTATCGTTGATTGTCATATTTGATTTCTAGTTAATTATTAGAAATAAAGATTCGTCTGTCGTCATAGATCGTCTACGCTTTTTCTGTTCTTTGTAGACCTACTAGGAACTATTTACCTACAAGTATTTAACAATTTATTTGCTCTTGTCTATAGTATAGTTATTTTGGGGCTTAATGTTCAGATTATAAAGACTTTAAAGAATATTTCTGCATATTTGTGATAATGCCCTTAAAGCTTTAAGTAAAAGGTTGGAAGTAGTATATCAATACAAATAAAATCTCAAAAAAAAAAAAAGATTTGTATAACAATCCATGAATAAAAATTGTATTACAGAAAGTTCAAGTAAAAACGTACACATTAAATCTGAATCGTTTGAGAAAAAAAAAACAATAAAAATGAATTTCTGGGTCAAAGCGCATGCTTATCTTTACATTTTTATCACAGTTTCCCCTTTGCTAAAAACAGAAGGCGTATATTTAACATTTTAATTAAAATGCAATCCGTGCCATAGGTTTACACAAGCTGCTTAAGTGGGCTAACGGAAATTAAATGACTCGCAGTGCGGCACATAAAAGTTGACAAATATTTGCGCAAAGTCAACCAAATGTACAAATAAATTATAAATTATTTTAATGTGTGTTGAGTGGGTTTTGTTTCCAAAAAAAACAAGTGAAGCTTATTCGAAATCAATAAGAGAAGAATAAAAATGTAGAGACAACCTTTCATAACTTGGCAATTATGCGCTTCAAGTGGCAAGCATCCACCATAAAAGGCAGCAGCAGCAACAACATAAACAACGCTAAATAAATAAATTGTTGTTGTTATCTACGGCAGCACTTGAGCAAAAAAAAGTGCTGTAAACAGACGAGACGCAGGCAGCTACAGCTCAGTAAAGTGAAGTGTAGCAGCAAACAGAGCAGCAGCGAAGGCAAACAAATCTTCTTCATACATAAGACATATATATAAAGCACACACATGTACATACATATATAAACGCCATACATACAAACACATATGTACGTGCAAGTAGTTGATGCTGCAGCTTTTTACAGATTGTGTTCACTGATAAGGGCACCAGAGAGCTCTTAAATATGAGGAAAAAGGTACAACCAGCAAACAATTGATAAGCCGCAGTAACAGCCGCCACAGAGGACAATCGCAAGTTTGCCAAAAGCTACTTACAGCAACAACAACAAAGGGAAAAAAGGCAAAAAGAAAAGTGCACAAAAATTAAAAATTTATAATAAGCAATCAAAGAATCAAGCAGTGTTGCCAACATTAATGCGAACCCAAAAATAGACTGGAAGACAAATGTAAGTCTTTTATACAAAGTATATATAAAAATAATGTTTACATACCGCCTTAATGCGAGCTCTTACTTGCAAATACGAAATATCAAATCTACGAGTCTATTTTTATCCCATTTTATACGTTCAAAATTGTATAATAGTACCAATCTTTGCCGAATGTTTTTATTTTAGAATCTAAATATGTAAAGTATCAGGCAACACTGCCAGTCAAACAGACAGTCCCTGTGGGCGTGGCGTTGTAATCAGGCACATAATGATATGTTGCCCTTGGTAACAGCCTATAATTGGCAAACAGAAAGCCGCCGAATGAATAAATTCTTGTACCAAACACGTGCCAAAGCTCAATTATAAGGGTAAAAAAAAATGTTGTAACAATTGCAATACATTTAAACATTTTTTAGGGCCGCTTTCTGGCATTTGCAAATAAATGTGTAAGCATAATGGAAATCCTAAAAGCTTCTGTACATTTTCCAAATATTTCAGCATCTTTTCATATTAGCCGACAGCTAATTAGAAAAATGCCATGCACACACATACAAACACACTAATTGATACTCACTCACACTTAAGTCTGCGGCTTGGCGCAGCTTCGTCGGCGCAGATCAAACAGATTACGTCTAATATTACTTCTTTACATATATTTATATATACTTGTATATAGTATCGAGAGGTATGCACAGCATTACGCGCAACTGAATACAAAAAGCGTGTCTATTGCACGGAAAAATAAATCAAAGTTTGACATGTAACACAAAAACTGAAAACACAGCTTGAAAATATCAAATGCAAACAAACATAAGCAAATGTGCGACTCATTTTTTCAATGTATATTTTGATGGTTGTACCTATTAAATTACTTAAACGAAATGAATATAAAAACTGAACGTAATTAGCATTTTATGTTTATGACTAATTTGCCGCACTTTGTAGATTAATTGAGTGTGTTTTTAACGACTTTAGGACAGTATAGCGTTAAAAATATTGGTGCAGCAAATTATTTAAATATATAGCTACCTAGAAACGAACATACATGCATAAAGTATTACTTTATGTGCTCCGTAATGATGGCATCTGACCCTCAGTTAAATGAGCTATTAGTGATCAGCAGGAATGAGAAAAAAACAGAGTTTAAATGGTTTTTGCACTACACATAACTTAAGATCTCAAATTGAAAAATAATTCTGTATATTTATTGCACAGCTTTTCTTGATCGACTTCTTCTTTATTTTGAGAGCTGGCTATTTTGGATTTGCAAGCGTGTGGGGGTGGAGTTTTTACGTTTCTCCGATTTGACAAATGTAGAATTGTATTCTATTCAGAATTGTATGAATCTTGCAATGTTTGAAGAAGCCCACGGTATAAGTAGATTGAAAGTACATTAATATAAATTCAATAAATATTTAAGAGAATGCATGGAAGGCAATGAATTTATCAGATTTTTTGAGCTCAGAACAGTTTTTATTTTCATTTCTATTTGAATACAAAAATTCAATCTACAGTTCCACATTTTGGCAAATTTTTCAGTAAAGAAATCAAATTCATACAAATTAAAATATCGAAAGAAATTAAATCGAATTATTGCATGTTTTAACCAAAGGCAAAAGATTTGTTGTTAATTCTAAAATTTGATACTGTCCCAGAAACTTTAAATATACCACCATGTGCAGAGAACAAATTTGGGTCTTCATTGAAAAGATGTCAGCTGGGCTGTCACCTAAACATACTTGAACATAACAATACTGTGAAGAGCAAAGGAAATTAAAACTGTTGAACAGACAAAAAACATACTAAAATTTATGACAGCTTTAAATTATTAAGCAAAAATGCCAAACATCTCAGACGAACACACAAACAAACACATAACGCATTGGGTCAATTGTCAGATGGGCACAACGGGGCGTATGCGCAATGCGTTGACAGACCAGACCAGACAAGACAGCCGACAGTTGGACAGTTTTGCGGGGCACCAACTGCACAAGTACGAGTATGCGCGCTAATGGCGTGCAGTAATTAATTGTAAGCTGTTTAATGCTTTTGTTGTTGTTGTTTCTGGTAGAGCAGCCGCCGCTGTTGACTTTAATTAAGTTGTATTTATGTTTTGGACACAGCAGTAGCAGCAACAGCCACAACAAATAAAAGAAACTGAAACTGAACGCATTTAAAGGCTGCATTGCTGACTGTTCGCTTCTATTTGTCTTTTTTATATACATATATATTGTAAATGAGAGCCTGACATGTTGTTGCATTCACATTTGCCATAACTAGTTGTTATTGTTGTAGCTGCACGTTGACAAATTGCTGTCCATTTACATGGCATTTGTTGTTGTTTCTGTCAACTAACAGACAAATCTCTATTTACCTAGTTAATCACACAAAAGTATTGTATAAATTATTGATTGCTATTATTAAGCGATGTGTGGACTTTTGAAAATACTAGACATGTTTAGTTTTGCATGAGTCCGTTTTTAATGCCTTGAAATTTATGGCCCGTGTAACAAACATAATCCTAAAATTGTCTCGGCGATGACTACATGTCTACATCTACGTTAAACTAAATACATTAAATTATAATTTTAACACCCTCGTAAAGGAGAAAAATTTGGTCACACACTAAATAAAGTATCGCACTATTTAAAAGAAAATAATAATAAAAATACTAGTATATGCATACATAAGCCATAAAACTCAAGATTTTTGAAATATTGCTCCGCTTTCTTTGCAAAAAAATTTCAGACTTTTAAGTTCTAAAATGCACAAAGCATCCTAATATTTCTCTTCTGCATATTAATACATGTCTGTTTAGCTTCAGATTGCAAAACTTGTCGATCTTAATTGTCATTTTTATTGATGTCTTTGATGTCACTCGCGTTGATCTCATATAAATTCCGTGGTTTAATCACTCATCAATCGTATTTTCCAATATTAACTGACAAATTTGTTTTTTTTTTCAAGCCATTGTCTATTTATCTAATAGCATATCGTATTAGAAGATTTACGCTTTTGAAACACTCCCAAAAAGAGGATGGGTCTACGGCCTTCGCATCTCCTTTTGCACTAGAATAAGTGTAAGTTTTGGCTACCGTTGGTCAAGTTAGTTGAGAGTTTTAAGACATACAGTTCAAAGCTCGATTCAAAAAGTAATTTAATTAATTGTTTTTTGTTTCGTTAAAGTGCATTTATCTTTAAAATTTAAAAAAATGAAATATTCATATTTATTTATAAATATAGATTCGAAATGAGAAGAGAAACATTATAAGGCACAGTTGTGGCATTAAATTTCTTCGCAATAATGCTTATCCCTTTGTATTATTATTATTATTTTATTATTATTTTATTATTATTTCCTAGTGCAACAAGAAATAAATTCTTATAAATTAATGCACTATATAATATATAGAATTGGGAAGTAAATGGGCGGGTTCGAGTACCTTAGAGAGTGAAAGATTCTCATAACAACATACAAGTATATAATACTATATTTATTTAACTTCTCTAATTTTTAACATTAATGGTATATGTATATAATATTTCAAATACTTATAAATTATCGTTGGTGCTCAAGTGCGTTTCTTTTTACTAATACTATTTTAAGAGACAATCAATTTTTCAGCAGTGTTTATATTTATGAGTATGCTTCAGAGCATGCAATTGGCAACGAGAAATTTGTCTGACTTAAAACATTAGCTAATTTTTCGCAATGCCAATAGAAAATGTCAAAAATGTGCGATATTTTGCAATTAAATAAATGATTTATCGCAACGCTCAAACGCCCGCGCAACTTTACGAAAAATATATGTTAGTTGGCGGCGCTGGCATAAAAAAATTAATTAGTTGGCATCGAAATATAGTACATGGGAATGTTTTTGAGCGGCACCACCTGAAACATCAGCGCCCATGGCACATAAATCTTCCAAGTTTGTGCCCCATATCATTTTTGGGAGAACGTTGACCAACTAGCGTTGATTGCCGAGAGAGAAAAAGAAGAAGAAGCAACAACAACAACAGCATGATCAAAAAGTCGCTACAAGATTTAAAATATGTTTTTTCTCTAATTTATTACTTAAGCTCATTCATATTCATTTTATTTCGTTCCAATTCGTTGGCCAAGAGAGCAAAACATTTGACATGCGTCAACATATCTTATGTTGTGCTGCTAATAAAAACCAATTTAATGTTTATGCATGTTTGTCTCCTGATTTAACACATTTACCAGCTGGTGCAATACCCAGAGGTATTTAGTATGTTGCTTTGATGAATAATCTCTGTTTGTATAGAACTTAATTTTATGAGGCCTAAAAAATAACACCGTCTACAAGAACTTTTCAAATACATACTTCATTTTTATGGTCGTACTGTAATACGGTTTTTTAATTTGTATGAGAACTGAATAAGATTCATTAAGCTTCGTGCTTTTGATATTTTTGAAATAAGAGATTACAAAAGAACGTTTGTAGCCATATTTTTAAAGGCAGCAGTAAAAATTTGAGCAGTTCTATATAAGCATATATTTACGCATTCATACGAAAACGCTCCTTTATTTGGAACCAAAGTGCCACATGGCGCATACTTGATATTTGCTTACGGCAATGCTCCGACACTTTTAACTTAGCTTTACGTTCTATATTCTATTCAATTTGATTTAAACAAATTGCGAATATACAAACAACATGGCTCAGCTGTCAGTTCTAATTGTTGGCGCCATTGGTTGGGGAAAATATTTGAACACCTGTCCCATAGCTGCTTAATACGATGCGTGGCCGCTTTTTATTTTCGCCACACTCATTAATGTTATTTAAATTTATGCATTAGACTGTATGTAGCTCATACTTATACATGGAAATCGTACAACTCCATTAAGTAGAAGACTAGAAAAAAGCAACAGCAGTCACAGTTCAGCATAAACTTAAAGTGTGTCATGCAATGAAATAAAATTCAGTTTGCTTCAGTTCTCGATGCTGTCAGCCATAAATAAGCCAAGCTACACCCAAACAATTTCCAAATAATAAAAAAGAAGGCCTTTTAAATTGCATAAAATTAAATCAAATTCTAATTTGCCATGGCAGCCAACAACAATACCAACTATAACAACAGAACGCCTACAAATGGAGGCAGTTGGAAAAAAAAAACATTATAACAAAATCTAAACGACGACGACTTCCTAAAACGCTTCAGTGATTTCGTCTAACCTATTTAAAGAGCTATGAGGAGCACCAACAGCAACGAGGTGTGGGGTGTGGCAATGACAGTGGCTGCTACGCATTTTGCATTTACGTCTTCTTACTGACAACATGCAACATAGACACACATATTGTAAAAGCTTGTTAATGCGACCGGCTTTATGCCTAAGGCGTTTTCTTGTCTTAGACAACTTAACAGTTGACTGCTTACGTGTGTGTGTTTGTGCAAGTGTTACATAACCGCCCATTTGTTGCAGAAACAGCAACATCGGCAGCAAAAGCAAAGTCTTCATAGCAGTCAGTCAGGCAGCAGGGCGCACCTTAGAGCGATTTCCGGTGTACCAGTTGCTCATTGAGCTTCATTGAGCAGCAGCAGCAGTAAAAAGGCGCGTGCGCCCCGCTCTATGTTGTCAATTCTAATTAGCGGAAGCGTTTCGAACATTTCTGTTTCGATTCTCTAATGCGCATACATAAATCCATAATAAAATGGATCATTCAAACACATAGCTATAGTATACTATACATCTACATAAATTAGATCATCAACCGATTTTTATAAACTTACATCTGGGTGTTCACGCACTGGCACATACACTTTCTCATTCAATGTGACGACTGCACCCTCTGGTTCTGGCAGCGTGAGAGGTTCCTTCTTAACGCCATTAATTTGAAATAGGGAGGCACGAACGCGTGCAATTTCTGTAAGAAGATAGAAAAATATTTTATAAGTATTTCATTTATTTTGTAATTTAAAAAGATAAAGCATAACCATAACTTAGAGACATTTACCGTAATCCTTAAAAGGGATAAGAAACCGGGAACCGCTTTTATCTTGAATCATTGTGAATCAGCAAATGCAAATGTTTATGACTCATAAATTTTGGCGAAATCAAATTCATGTGTCAAAATTCCATTCTGATTTAAGCAAGAAAGTAAAAATGCTGTTTATAACTCTTGTTTAACTACGTGTATCAAAATTCTTCTACCACATCCTTTCGTAATTGTATCGGGTTTTCATTCGTTGCTTTTAAAATACTAGTGCGACTAAAAAAGCTCATTCTTAAAAAGAGGGAAAAGTCACTAATTTGTATATGTTTTAAAGAAAGTCTTTACCATCACCTTCTAAGCAAAGGGAATGATATTTCAAAATAATTCGCCAATCAATAATTTGTATTTGTAGGCGCATCAGATAATTCAATTTCGTCCCAATAGCACTGCAAATAGTTAAAACGTTTGGGTTGGTCCCACTGCCAACAGCAGCGACAACAAAAACTCAACGACATCAATAATTATGCTGCAAAACTGTGAAAATTATGAAAATATTAAACAATAAACTGACAACCAAAATAGACAAACAAACTTTGGCAAGGCGTGGCCATTTTGACAGGCAACTGGCTGCTACTGTCGTGTGCTGAGGCTGCTGCTGTTCAGTTCCGTTCCGTTGGCAATGTGAGCATTGCTGATAATTTTATTTGCCGCAGCATTAGTGGCAGCTCTTAGTACCCTCCGCCACTCTAGCGGCCTTCATTTCATTGCGCTTCGGCAATTTGTCATATAGTTAAACGCACGGATTAAATTACGTCTAATTTGCCTTTTATTTGTATTATTAACACACCAGCTATAAATTGCAGCAACAACATTGTTAGTTTATAATAGCGTGTGAATGTTTATTTTATTTTAATGCTGCTAATTTATTAGATGTAAAACGCTGTCTCAACGCTAGTCTGCTACTAATGAAATCATTTGGTTTATATATAAACGAATTATGGCATACATTTGCCAATAAAATTATAGACTAAAAGCGTTTTAGCATCTTAGATATAGCAGCTGCTTACTGAATCGTGTGTATCTGTGTGTGTGCTTATGCAGTTTATGCATTAGTTGAGCTGAGCTTTGACAGTCATCGAGTTGTCGCCTATAATTCACACTATTTTGAGTAGAGCGGCCCGTGCCCGTTCTATTCTCGGCCCACCAACTGTGTCAGTTGACAGCGCCTTAACAATTGATATTATCAACATGATTTTCCAGTTGCTGCTCCTGGTATTGGTGTTACTTAGTTTTGCATATGCAATTAATAGTATGCATTGTTTATTTTGACATGCGTTCCATTTCGCTTACAAAGGCTGCGCTTTAACATTCAATAATTTGTCACCAAACATATAAACTGACAATTATAGTATTTTTACCATATTTTCTATGTGGGTGGTAGCGGATGTCATGGGAATGACTTAAGAACTGTCACTGTATGACATCAACTTTAATTTCATAGGTTATACTCATTCTATACTCAGATTGTCCAATTTTAATGTAAAGGGCGTCACTTAAGTTTTATTGTTTTTATTTTAAAATATTTTTAAATCAGTTAAAATATCTAGACGCTATATACTACTGTTTATAGAAATAAATATTTTATTGAATAAGAAGAAGAAACACATTCACTTCTTTACAATTCCGAGATAATGAAATATTTAATAAATTATTGCGTTTTGTTTCTATTATACTTATAAGTATGTACTATTATGAACTTAAAATGCTGAATCAACTTTTCTGCTTTATAAGGCAATGCAATGTATCCAAAGCATTTTATACTAATTTTGTTTTTTGTTGGGACAAATTGTTTATACTTATATTCTCTACCTAAATAAGTATTTAAATATCAACAAACATTCGTTCTACATGCTAAGAATAACTTATCATGCTAAGGATTTGCCTCTTGGCTTAAAGTGGATTTGTGTCTCTAATGACATGAGTGGTCTGGCATTCACACTCTTAAAGCCACTCACACAACTTAGAAAACAGTACTTGTATTCATATGCACAACTATAAGTATAGTATATTTATATTTTTTGTTTAGGACATTTTGACTGCGAAATTTTCTGTAATGCTTCATAAATTCTTGCGCATACGAAAATATCATTTACGTGTGCATTGCAACATGTAATCCCCAAAAATAGCTGCCCTCTGTTGCATTTTCTCTGCTAGACACTTGGTTTTCATAATTTTACGGCTCTGTGGGTACATGTCGAAAGGAAATGGCGCCCTTAGCTGCTTGGGAAGCATGGAGGGAGGGAAGGTCTGCCTTCTGGCTTCTGCCTTCTATGCTGTTTAGCTGCAACATTTTGCAACAATTTAAATTTAGATTTTGCCTTATGAGCAGCAACCGACTGTCAATAAATTGTCAAATTTTATGAACCTCGTCCCATTTTATTTATATATATGTACATATATGTATACCTATATTTCTGCTATATAGCAATTTTCTAGGACATAATTTATAGATTGTGCACAATGTTGCGTTTAAATAGACAACATGCTTAAAGAAGCTCAGTTTTATTTTGCCATGAATGCTGTTTACTAAATCAATGATTTATATTTTGGTTAGTATTGTTTTTAGTTTATTTAACGGATAGCGTAATTGTAGAGTTTTTCCCATATGTGCATTCCCATACACTGAGCATTTTATGATGATTCACAAAATTGCTAATCGGCCAAAGTTAAAAATACTAAAAGTTTGTTTAAACTAATTTTGTTGGAAGTAAAATACCTAAAATTCCTTTAAGTTCTATTTTGAAAATATAAATAAAGCTTTGTGCGGCTCAGCTTCAAGGATATCTTAAACTATGATCGATGTGGCACCAACAGAACGTAATCTGTGTGCTTAACTTAACTTTACTTTATCCCACAATGAATATACTTTTTTACCTATATTATATTTTTGGTTGCAGGGTATATACTATGAGTATGAGTATAAGAACAGACACAACACAAATTGTCAAAACGTCCAACGCATGCGCACGCTAAATTTTTCTTTTGAGCCACTTAAAGCAGCGTGTGGGGGTTGAGTCAATAGCAACAGCAAATTATACAAAATAATAATAATCATACTTGAACATTTGCCTACATGCACAAACCACACACATACACACACACACACACACAGATACCTAGACATAACATTGCGAAAAAGTTATAGCCAGTAACGCCAAATTTAGACACCTTGCCCAGGCCTTATAGAGTGGTTACAGCCTTCGCGCAACACATTTGAAATTGCTAAGATAAAGTTAAAATAGAAGTGTATAGAGCCACATATAAATTATGGCTTAAACTTGACTTGCATTAGGAACGTTATTTAAATGAATGAAATGAAAGATAGAAATCTTTGAAAACTGCTCGCCAAACGAACAACTTGACTTCACTTTTCGCCATAAATGTACAACGGCAAACTTGTTAATGAATTGAAAAGATCATTCATTGATAATTATTAGATTGCCATTGGAGGGGTTCTTTGTACATTCAGCCGCTACACCTACACACTTACACTCACATGGCGACCAACGCTAAACTTGTTCGCCAACTAATTTTTGCCCTAAAAAGGCCAGATGGAAATATGGAATGGCGCACGATTTAATTATAGTCGCATTGACGCACAGCTTAAAACAGCACGGATGAAGTTTGCAAAAAAAATATGGAGGAAAGTATGGGGGGAAAGAGAGAGCGTTCTAAAACTTAAGAGATGTATGCACAGCCAAGTTATTAATTAAGCCGCCTGCGCTGCGCATATGGCCAGCCAACTTAATTATTGTAATTTATATAAATGCTACTATCAATTGTGTTTGCTGCCCAGCGGCCAAGCATTAATTCAATGACTAATTCCCGCGACTTGACGCCCCAGGCCTTCACGTCGTCGCCACAAACTTGTAGTCGTCATCAACATATGCAAATGCAATTTTACACCAATTTTCTGCAGCTTATTCATCTAATCCGCCCCAATCTTCCATGTAGCGCACATCAGTCATGACAGCGACAACGACGACAACAACGCCAACAACTCTCGACGACTGCCAGCGAACATGCGTGACATTTGCTCGATTAAAATTGACAGCTGTCATGATTGCATTTATGCTCAACCAAAAGATCTAAGGCTCAGATTTGATACTCAATACCTTAAAAGTAAACGGTTGTTACAGCTACCTTGAAATGTATTGAAATAGGCAGGCAACAGAAGGAAGCTCACACCAGTAGTTGTGTGTTTAAAGAATAGCCGAATAATACCAAGTAGTACTTATAATTAAATTGATCGATGCCCACTGCAAATGGCTCTATAAAAAAATGTAAACAGTGTATTCGATAGTCGGATAAAATTAATTATACCACTTTTACTTGATACTATATATGTTTAAGAATTTGAAATCGCTTTGGTCGCAAGTATGAAAAACAAGCTCTTTGTGACCTGCTCTTAATTATATGGACTCGATCGGTTGTTTCTCAGAGCATACTATATGTATGTATATATACGTAGATTGTTGTCATTTTGCACTTTATTTATGGGTTCTTTGCTTTCATTTTCCCCCAAGTGTTGCTGGTCAGAAAAACAAACATGGATAACCATATTGCCACATTTTCCACTGAATTTCTTTCTTCTTATTTTGCTATTAATATTTCCAAAAATACTATAATGCATTCATTTTGTTTTTATTATTTGTTGATTATTTTTTATGTCGCACTGAAAAAAAATTAAAAGGTGCACAATTTTTATTATGGCTTAACGCATGCAATTTTCTTGCTTTCTTTTTGTGCCGGTTTAAATAATTTTTCCATTAATTTACAAATTTATTTATGTCCACGGTAATAAAACCAAAAAGAAACAATATCAAATAAAGAGGCGTTGCTGCGCATAAGTTGATGAAAATAAAATATCA